CACTTCCTTGAACAGTGTATGTACTGTGCTGCAAAAAAACATTTAGGTTATTAACACATTGACCCTGGGTGCCGCCCATTGGTAAACTTTACCTTTGTTTTAGCTCATGTCCAGAAGACAGTACCTTGTAGAAAAGGAGAAAATAACTCAACTTGGCCCATTAAATCATCAGACATGACTAAATCCCTTAAAACTCTGAACAACCTTGGCCCATAAAGAAAATAATCAGCTCCAGTTCTAATCTCATTTATGTCAGTTTGTCTTCGGTGGCTTCTTGCAATGATCTAATTTCATTTTGTCTTTGATTTTTTTTGTTATGATTTTTTTTAAAAAAAAGGATATTCAGGTTCTGAAGTCCAGAACTCCAATGTCACCTCTGAATCTGCACTTGTTGGGATCTCTGTGTTTTCCAATACTTGCTCACTTTAGAGCATTTAAGATGTTATGTGCCTTTTTCTACTTGAATGCAACACTAGGCACAAGGATTGAGGCCTTGCAACATTGAGACATTCCTGAAAGTGAAGATTGTATTCTAAGAATGGACTTATCCACCTCTTAATATAAATACTGATGTTCTCTGGTTTATCCGTTTTGTGCTTCCGACATCTATTGTTCTATTTTCCTTTTTGTGCATTATTTCTATTCCTGCAATTTCCATCTCGGGTGGATTGGAAGAGTGTGAAAGTTTAATTATTGTCCTAATGGGGTCCCAAATGCCACTGAAACCCACAATTCAGGTGTCCGCCTGGCTCAATGTGTAGCACTTTTCTTCTGAGAAATAAGGTTCAAGCCCCACATCAAAACTTAGAACTCACAGTCATGGCTAACACTCAAATACAGTGCTGGAGGTGCATGAGAGGGAGTGAGTGCTGCATTGATGAAGATGATATTCTTCAGATGAGACATAATCCGAGGCCTGCTACCCTGGCTAACAATCCCTCAGATACAATCGGTCATTCACTTCATGGCTGTTTGTGCAGCATTCCTGTGCATAAATTGGCTGCTGTGTTTACCTACAAAATACAAAATTCTTTATGGTAAATCCTGTGAAGTGCTTTGAGATATCCTTCTGACATGATGTGAAAGGTGCTATTTCATATCTAATGATTCTTCTTATTATTCATGCATTTGTTACCTCTCACCTAGATGTTTCTCGCTGGACTACCAAGATTCACCATCCATTAGCTCGAGTTAAAACTCTGCCACCTGCATTCTCACTCATGTTCAACCTCTGCACACCCATCACTCAGTTATTGCCAGGCTCCATTGGCTGTTGGTGACCTGACGGATTATCTTCAAAATCCTCCTCTTCACCAAAAATCCTTTCACATCCTAATACTTTCCTATCACTGTGACCTTCTCCTCCCTGACTCTTCTGCTTGCCTCCTTCATTCAGCTAAATTGGACTTGCAGCACGTCTCCCACCCCCCTTGCACCACTGTGGCTGAGTTTTTAGCTTCCACATTCCTAACCACTGGAACTCCCTAGCTATACCATCTGTCTCACCTCCACTCTAACTTCAAATAGGTAGCTCCAGTGCCCAGCTAGCAGTGTGAGGCACTTTGAGACAATAACAAGATTAGATTTGTATGGCCCCTTTCACGTCGGGAGGACATCTCAAGGCGCTGGACAGAGTACAGCATCTCAGACCCGAGCTGGGGTCGGGGGCGGGGGGAAGGAAGAGACATCTTCCTGAAGCAGCCTAAATGTCAATTGTATTGTGTTGTAAATACCACCTTAAAGCCTACCTATTTGGCTGCTTCTAAGCCCCCACTCACTTTCTCCCTTTCCTCTCCCTAACCACATGCTTGCGGTCCATCCCTGTCATTGTAATGTGCTCCAAAATGCAATCCCATGTGAAGAGCATGATATAAATGCAAATTATTATTTTTGATGACATGCAAATTCAGTTACAATTGTACAGGGAGAGAAAACAATTTGCCCATACATTTTAAGATAAGCAATGGACAGCAATAACCTGGCAGAAATCGTGAGGAAATACAATTTAAAAAGGAATATTAAACAACTCTGTGCTTCTAATTTACAAACTTGAGTGCACTGCTGATACACTGGAGATAAACCAAATCTTTTACAGGATTAAAAACATGAGCTGCGTCTCACAGATAATTTTAAACTTAGTTTCTTCTTAGCAGGGTTGAGATTTCTAAAAGTGAGAGGGGAGGAGTTAAGCGGTGTGGTCTCATGAGATTGAAGTGGCTCCGAGGAGGGATGTGCCATGAAACAGTAATCAAAGGCATTATCATTGCAAGACAGGCTACATGGTTAGCCATTTTTATAGTGCTCTACAATAGATTAGTATTTCCCTGCTGAGTTATGTTATTCAAACACAGACAGTTGTTTAAGTTCTCCAAAGGGCAATTTCAGGACAGATACAAGGAAGTTTTTCTTTATCCAGAGGGTAATTCATGCCCAGAACAGGCTACCAGGTAGAATGGTTGAGGTAGGACAGCTTAATTCTGTAATGGGAGGATGGTAGAGTGGAGGGATGAAGTCAGATGGACCAAACTGATCCTTAATGATCTTAATGTCTGACTTTGGCTTTGTACTTTGTAAAGAGTTATCATTCTGCAATATACATAAATGTGTTTTATACAATAAAAATATGTCTAAACACCACAAAAATAAGTAAAACTTAAACTTGTCTTGTACCTCATCTGCATTGCTCTTGATTAATCTATTGAACTAAATACTTTAAAATCGTGCCTTAAATTAGAACAGAAGGAAAACGATGATCTCCACACTGCCCTTTACATATCACTAGCAAACCTTAAGGAATATATATCCAATATTGGGCCTTTCCAAACACATTTTCAAGATTTGCAAGGTTATTTTCTGAAAAATTATATTTACCACTTTCCTGATTTGATATTTTGTTACCACAACATCAGCTGTTCGTTGCATTTGTGAAGGGCACAACTGTAAAAGTTCCTGCATTCTGGTGGTGTATCAGAGCTTTGCTGCAGCCTGGGACCTCTGGACTCCATTCTATTGTGGAATTGCATAATGGCACAGAAACTCCTTTTACCAATTAATCTAATTCATGTTCTCTTGGCATAATTCTCCAGTGGCTTAATTCTATAGAGCCTAATTAATTAACAAAACTTGTTTTTGAATTTCAACATGAAAAGTACCATCCATAGTACAATACCTATCCTAAGACTGCTTATTTCAATACCACCCCCACCCCCTCTACCCCACCGATCATATTTGCTTGGTGCTGAAATTAGAGATTTTCTTGCATGCTAGTTGTAGATTGCACGTTTTAGTTCTGGGCATTAATTCAAAGGAGTTGGAGTTGCCAGGTACTCAGTACTCTGTACGTTTAGCAGTTAGTTGTCTCATGCAAGCTCAGTCTTCTGCTGGAAGTTGACATACTGTACTTTGTGAAATGTGGTTGTTTGATGAGCAAAATCCTGTATTTTAAAGTATTTTGCACTTTAATTCCTAGTTGATTTGTGAGACACTACAGGTGGACGTGAAACACATCTGTCTGACTAATAACCTTCTGTCCATTATAAAGATAGCTTTTTGAATTTTGTCCCATGCTTCTAATCAGTGCACACATCGGCTAACACCCTGGATATAAATAGTCCAGGGGGAATATTTCTATAAATGTAAAAGAGACCCCCAAGAAAAACAGACCTATCTCAATTCTTTTGATTCATAGCCAATCTCAGACCTGCTCTGAGCTTCCTCTTTGAAACTTGAGAAGAGTTTCTTTCCGTTGCATCCATTCCAGCTTGAAGCATCACAGTTTCAATGCTTTAACTTTCAGTTGCTGGAAGTGTTTCTACTTCAATGCAATCCCAGAACTGACTGAGCACCGCGCTGCCATTTTATAAAGCAACTGAACCATTTAAATTCCATTAAAAAGGTGAATAAATACTCACTACAGCGCAACTCTAAACTAGGTGAGCTCCTGATATGTACGAGGCAATTCTCATAAATGTGATACACTCACAACTTTAGTCCTTGTGATGTGCATCAGCAACATGTCAGCAAAAATGAAAGGAAGCGCTGCAGGTTTTGTGCTTTGATCTAGTCCTGTCAATAGGCATCCATAATTACAATATAAAATTATTTCTAAAATGATGAAATTGTATTCCTTTAAAAACATTGTTAATCTCTGTTTTAATTCTTGTATTGATCGTGCATTAAGCTGGTTCATCAGTTTGCATGTGTACTTGAAAGTTGAATATTTTAAATCTTTGAATTAATATAAAGAATTATTTATTTTAAAGAATCTGGTTAGGGGCCTCCAATCTGTACTTACACAGGTGGTCAGATCTAAATGTGTTTGTGTAAAAAGAGGTTGTTAGAAGAACTGTAATTGCAATTTGTTTATTACAAATTGAATGTTTTTGAACTACACATTTTGTCAATTCCTGGTGCCTGATTTTAAACAAGAAGAGATTATATGTTAGTATTTGCTATGGCTGCTTTTCATAGAGAAAATATTCTTGCATGAATTTTGTAACCCTTAAAGCACTGCTACTGTACAATTTTTGCAAAGATTTAGCATAGTCACTCCAGTGAATTAAGCATGTGTTCATATTAAGTCCAAACTGCAGTGGCTTGGCAGTATTTTTTGACAAATATAGAATGGATTGTATATTTGGACAATTTTCAAAAGGACTTTTAAATATTCAGTTCTTTAAGGGTTAATCAAGGACCAAAAAAATTCCGGTTGACATTTTTAGCTACTGCTTTCAGTTCTGTTTCTGCATGTTCCTTTTACAGCAAATTCTATGTAACCCTGATGCATTGATGGTATTCCTGATATTGGATGCCCTCCCCTCATGTACACTTAACACTGAAATAGTTTCCTAGACAAGTAAAGGGATGAAGACTGTCTCTATTTAAGAAATGACGAGTGGAATGAGGACTGGAAATATTTCATTATGTGATGATCATTTATTTTTGAGTTTGCCAATTTTTACAGCTCGCTATAAACATTTTCTTTTCCTGTGTTTTACTAGCCCAATAGAATCCTGTCAGGATTTCTACAAAGATTTCACATTGCAAATTGACATGGCATTCAACGTATTCTTCCTGCTCTACTTTGGACTTCGGGTGAGTAGAAATTCATAGACTGTAAATTCTATTCCAACTGTCATTATGAACACAAAATCTAGTGTAATTTCTACAATTAACAGTCAATCCTGTGAAGAACTTTGAGACGTCCTTCTGCCATGAAAGGCCCTATATTAAATTCAAAGGATGTTATTATTTATAATCCTTGCTGTTGAAAGTGATGCTTTTCATTGTAATTTTGTTTTTCATAATGGTTGTTCAGTCATGAGGGTGAAGTGGACCCGCATCCTCACCCGACTCCAATGGCTTCCCATCACAGAGAGAATACAGTTCAACATCCTGATCCTCACCTTCAAAGCCTTCCATCATCTTGCTTCCCGCTACCTTCCTGACCTCCTAACCCCCTACCATCCTGCTCGTTCCCTTCGCTCAGCAGGCTCCGGCCTGCTTCATGTCTCCCGACTCACTCGCCACACTATTGGCAGGTCTTCTGCCACTCTGCCCCCACCCTCTGGAATTCCATCCCGCAGTCCCTCCACCTCGCCCCCTCCCTTGTCTCCTTCAAGACCCATCTCAGGACCCTCCTCTTCGACCGTGCTTTCCCCCCACTGCCTTCCACCCTCCCTGACCCCGATCCCCAGCTTGGGTACGAAACTCTGTCTGTCCAGCTCCTTGGGACGTCCTCCCAACATGAAAAGCACTATACAAATGTAATTTTGTTTATTGTTGCATTGTTCAGCCTTTAAACTTGGCTCAGTTGGTGGCACTCTTGCCTCTGAGTTACAAGGTTGTGAGCCCAAGCCCCATGTTGGGACTTGGAGTTCCCATATTCAACTGACACTGAAATGCATTGATGGGAAAGCACAATAATGTCGAAGGTTCTATCTTTCAGATGAGACGTTAAACTGAGGTCCCATTTGCTTGTTCTGGTGGACAGTAAAAATCACAAGGCATTATTCAAAAAGAGAAGGGAGATTCTCTGTTCTGGCTCTTTGATAGAGCAATCCATTCAGTCTTATTTACTTGCCTTTTCCCTATCTGCTCTAATTCACGTGAGGATTAATTGTGGAAACATGATCTTAAAAAATACAGATATGAAATTCAACATGGTACCAATACCCTGATCTCGCATTATATATCTTTCCTGAATTATCAATGTAATATCTATATCATGCTACAAGATATTTCCTTTAGGTCCATTCCATCGTATGACTCAATTTATAACTAATGAATGATTTTGTTCATTGTTTGACTGGGTTGTGATTGTTGCAGTAAACAGTGAACTGAAATACTGTGCAGTCTGACTATAGAATTGAGCTTGTGTTTAACAGTTGATATCTTTGGGATAAAAGGATATTTTCTGTGTTATTTTTAGCTCACTGTTTTAAACAAAAAAATGTAAATGAGGACCTGCATTTTCAGCTATGTTACATAGCAGTTAAGATGCTTGTCTCACAGCCAGTGGTGAGGTTTAAGTCTTAGATTTAAATGACATTCGAATCAGCCCACCACAGGCTTGTGGTATGTGTTGCTTCAGTTCTGGGTCAGATTTCTATGTAGAATTGGATTGTTTCAGCGCCTTGGGACGTCCTCCAGCGCTATACAAATGTAAATTTGTTGTTTTTTGTTGTTGCCTCCAATTCCCACTAGCAGAGGAGGGAATTGGAAGGGAGGAGAAAAACCTGACATCATGAGTGTTGGTCTTTCACAGATCCATTCTGTTGGATGTGAATTCATAGATTGATGGTACATGGATACTTTTATCACTTAAATGACTACTGTGTAAAAGTATGTGTGGAGAATTCTGCAGTTTAAGGATTCTGGATGCATCAGCATTATTAGGCTGTCTTATTAAAAAGATGCATTTCTGCCTATTCAGCAACAGTCAATCACAATGCAGGAAAGAATGGGAGAAAAGTCATTATGTGTAAGTGTTTGACAGTGAGCCAAATGGGCTTGTGTTGGCAGCAGCAAGTTGCTTGTTAAATCCAGCAAAACAAAATGCCCGGCTGCAATTAATGTATTGCCAGTGCAGTCATATTTAGGTATCTTTTCGGTTTGCAACCAAGGTGAACTCTCATGTGCATCATATAGTTATTTTCAGTAACAAAGGTAAATATAATTAAGAAACAATGCCTGTAAATATTTCGTCAAATCTTTAGCTGTATTTCTTCACTCGTATGCTATACTCATAATCTTCCTCTTCTCCAAATCACATTTTGTGGAGGGCAATTTTCATTTATGAAGCATCATTTGAGGATCGATAATCAATCAAAAGAGTATAACGAGCCAAAGTCTTTGATTGATGCATAATCCATAACACATAGGGCTCTGCATTTGATATGCAGTGAAATGTACTCATTGAAAACAATAACCTGGGTTTAGATTCCATCTCTGGTGGAAATTTTACTCTGTCTTTCCCCTCATGAAAAGCTGATTAACCAAAATAGTAAGTACAATAACAACTACGTAGCTGATGAGTGGGATGAGACAGGCAAATTGGGTGGTATTCCATCTTCCATTCAAGTCATTTGTATTTCCACTTTCTCAGAAACTCCTCTCTTCCTCCTGCCTTTCCCAAAACCTGCAAGCGGTGGGAGCATCCCTGCTGTACAGCCAAGCTGCTAATAAATAATTCAGAATTACAGTATTCTTATGCATGTCAGTGCCTAGAAATCTGTACTGTTTGTGGAAGCAGGGAATGAGAGTTGTGATTGGGCCCTGGTAGGTATATTGGAAATCTAAAAGAAAAAATGCTTTTGTTTTGCAATTGAAGACTAAATACAAATTTGGGGGAAGTTTTAGGTTGATGTAAATCTTTTTGGTTTGAGACCTAATGTCATGATTTCCAGTAAGTGTTGTTAAGTTCCATACAATGGGGTCTGATACAATACAAATGGTAATATATTTCCAGTGACTTTTAAAATATCATTTTCCTGTTAGAGACAATTATTTTTTAACCATAAGCATACAAAGCTGACAAATGCTGCTCAAAGATAGTGAAATAAAATTTTCAAATTTCAAAGTGTTTCACTTGTAAAGTTTTATCAAGTGTTTAATACTCTCATCAAGTTAATTTGACCTAGTAGTTATAGGTAAACTTCAATCAATCTAGCAGGAGATAATGCTGAAATAATTATGTTCTCATTTCCTTTGCAGTTTATTGCAGCGAATGATAAACTATGGTTCTGGTTGGAAGTGAATTCCGTGGTAGATTTCTTCACAGTCCCTCCTGTGTTTGTGTCTGTGTATTTGAGCAGAAGTTGGCTGGGTAAGTTGCACTTCTTTATTTTTCACACACAAGTTCCAGTACACTCAAGTCCTGAATAAATATTTTGAGGTGGCGAAATGCACAAAGAGTGACCCGAGGTCAACACATACTTGCGTAGCAGATGAGAAGATCTTTTTGGGAACCGTATAAGAAATTAGACCTGAAACTTATTTGACTGTGTAGGTAACCTACATAGAAAGTTACATAAAGTGATTCGGCATGGAAACAGATATTGGAGCCATCTAGTCCGTGCCTGTGTTCATATTCTTCACCTCTTCTATTCTCCTCACCTGTAACCTTCTCTTCCCTCATGTATTAAACCTCTTTCACGCTTTTAACGAGGAAACATTTGAGTGGGGGTGGTGCTGGAGGGGAAGAAAGAATTCTTTAGTCGTTGATAAATTTACTGTCCTTGACAGGCGCAAATGGGAAATCTATTCATAAATTCATGTCATCAGGGTCCATAAATTACCTGACCTTTTAGTGGATCAAGCAAAATATTTGAAGATGAGCAACAGCAGAATTTGATTGAAGTGCAAGGAAAAGGTTCAAATGTTGTGATTCTTGTCTCGTGAAAATATTTCAAGCTCTTCTGGTTGCTAAAATGGCAGCTGCAACAATGGTTACTTAAAATTGATCTTCTTCCAGTCTTTCATTGGCAGGGAGGTGGTATTATGACTTTAATCAAAGTGGTTGATGAGCTGTGACCAATTTTCCTGGTTTGCTGGACTGCTGATCAATCTTTGTTGACCTTGGGTAGTTCTTTGTGCAATTGTGTATTTAATCTAATATAGCTCATTGTAACATAAAATGTTGATTTGCAATTTTACATTATGGAGGGATGGGGAGAGGAAAGCGCAAACTGTGGGAGTATTTTTTCTTGTCAGTTGATCTGGTAAAGCATCAAGCTGCTGCTTTCTCTCGGATGCACAAACAGTAAGTACTTACAGACTGTTTTAATAACTCTCATTAATATTTCCAATATTACAGAAGTGAGCCATAACTTAAGAGCCCATTACACTTCACAAGAGGTTACCATCAGAGGACACAACAGTATATGTCAACCACAAAGTGTGTTTGTGTCAATAAATGGGCAAATCTAATTGAGTTACTGAGAAACAGTTAAAGGGAGCAATGACATCCAAAACCACAAGATACAGCTTAAATAGTGGTTATCTGATCCTGGTGACTGTTGTTCTTTTCTCTTTTTCCTTTTTTTTAAAGCATCTACTTTTGATCCTTGTTCATATCAAAGAAGTCTTAACAAATTTGCTCAGCACACAACTGTGTCAGATTGTTGTTAACTCCTCGTCTCTATTCACAAGTAGGTCATCATGGAACAAAATTAGCAGATGACATTGGCCCATTTAAGCAGCCAATTGCAAGTTGTGGATGTGTTAAACTTGTGAGAGTGCTTTTGCCACCTCTTCACTGGTCTATCTGCACATTGCACCTAATACAGTGAAGAAGCTATCTGATAAAGTGCTTCCACGGTTCTGTTAGTGCTGCTCAGAATTAAACAAAACTAAATGTCACACACTTTATCCTCTATTTCTCTGGGGAACTATCTTGCTTCTTCTTATAAATGCTTCCAAGCATGAGGGCTGAGAGCAGGAGGTGGTGCAGGGGAAGAGAGGTCTGTAGGATGGTCCCTGTGTGCCACCATCACACTGTGCTGTGGGATAATGAACCACATCACCCTGGAGACGTGTGTTTCAATTCTAATTAATTACTCGCCCACAACCAGAACAAGCGAGTGAGATAATTAAACAAAATTAAAAATTGCTGTGTGCAAGTAAGTAGAGGAGCTATTTATTGTCTTCTTGAAATGTTATGAAACTGATTCAGAAAAAAAATGTGAGCTTTTACTTTTGCCCTCCATTGTTGAAGCCATGCCGCATTGCAAAGAAAGCCAACCGATCATCAGGAGGGCAAAATTATCAAAATAAAGAGCTTCTTTCAGTGGCAACGCTATACTTTCAATCCGTTCTCAGGACCATAGCAGCAGTGCCACTTTTTGACCTGTGTACCGCTTTAATAAAATCCTACCGTTGTCTTCTGTGGAATTGAACCTGCAGCTCACAATCATACTCCTCATTGTGATATATAATCTAGATATCAGCCGCTCTTTGTTTCTCCACTTCTAGTAATCCTAATGAATGTGTTGTTCATAGGTCTAATGTGTCGATAGAAATGAGAAAAGCATTTCATTCTTAAATTAGTTCTCTTATGGGTGTTCAATTTGCACATCAGCTTTTGGCCGCGCTAGAAGTTGAACACTCAATAGAAAGTAACTGTTAATAATATGACTTGAGTATATTTGTAAATTCAGATATTTTTTAAAGGTTTGAGTTGAGGACATCCCACTCCCGGGATTTGCTGTCATATTACTGATGCTAAAGCTATTTATTCAAGTGGGGTGGGGGGAGAAATAACATTACACTTCAGATGTTATATCCCAGCAACCTAGGCAGTAATTATTGAAGAGAATGTATCATCAAATGTTCATATTCTTGAGCGGCTAATGACTCATTCACCTGGTAGCTCAGTCACTGTGTGTAGGAGTAGGGTAGCAACAAGCGATAGAGGAAAAATAAATTACTACATCCTTTACTTCCCTCCCCAGGTATTATCAATACACTAGAGGTTAAGTGATTTGTTGGATACTTCAGCAGGTAGTGGAAGCTGTTAAAACAAAAGTGTGTTGAAATTAAATCCATGCATAATATTTGTCAGGAAATTGACATTTAATTTTTCCATTACACGATTTGTCAAGATGTGGCGGAGATTGGATCAGGTTTGAACAGTATTTTGTATAAAGTCAAACATTTAGAATCTGTTCTGTTTTGATTTAGAATCTGTTATTTTGTACACAAACTCGTTTCATTCTCATTATGCGGGTGCACATTATATATGATGCATGCAGCTGATACAAAAATCTTATTTTGCAAGAAAATATCAGTGTAAAATGTAAGCGACTTCAGGCACACACTGTGTTTGATGGTAATTTTGGGCACTGCAATTTTCACTTGTTCTCAGTAGATATTTATCTTTGGCAACAGGCAACACCATGAGCAAAGTTGCGTGCACCACTGGAGTTTTGCCAGTGGTGGACAGTTACTGGGGACACGAGTTACTCACACGGTACAGGGAAATCATAACGCTAGTAACCTTGAGCATACGCACAACTGGATACTTTTTGCTGGTGGGTGTCGGTATGTGTCCATTGTGGATAAACGAACATTGGTATGTGGATAACTGGTGTTCTGCAGTTCCTACTCCTGGAAACTTAACAATGACTCATCCTGGTAAGATGTTTTTTGCTCTTCAATTCACTCTCCAGAACTAGTAAACAGAACCTGTAAGTTTACTGTGGCTGGAAATGGAGACAATCAAGCACAACAAAGTATTTCTGCACCTATCAGGTTCACAGATGGTCACCAATCCCTCACCCTGGACCAAGAAAAATGAAAGTTCCCAACTCTTGAGATTTTTAGTGTTGTCCAATATAGAGCTGGCTGAAATGTGTTTCATGCAATTTTGGTGCCACCTAGTGATGTTTTTATGAACCTCTTTGAAGCAATTGAAAAGTCATATTTCCCCAAATGAACAGTGTTGAACATTCTTACTTTTCCCACTCTGTAAAGTGAAATAACTTTGATTGGTCAGGTTTTCACTTAGTTTCCGATCATGTAAATGGCTGCTTTTTTTCCCCTGCTTCTTTAGTGTTCATTTTCTTCCCCCTTTATATCCTGTGTATCCATTTATCATTCGCCAGTTGATTTATCAAGACAGTGAGCAGCTCTCAGCTGAGGAGTTGCTCTCAGCACACCTCTCCGTCATTAATGAAATATTGTGATCGGGGGCTAATAGTGTAAAGTACACAATCTTACATTTTTGTGCAACAAACTAGAGGGCATCAATTTAAGTTAGATACCAAACCAGCAAATGGGAGGTTAGGAGAATTTTTTTTCATGTACAGAATAGTTAGGATGTGGAATGCCAGGCCAGGAGTTGAAGCAGAATCCTTATTGGTCTTCAAGAGGGAACAAGACAAATACCTTAAAAAGAACCAACTCTTGAGGGAGCTGGCACAGATATGATGGAGTGATTGGATTTCTTCTGTTCCATAAATTTTTACGACTTCTCAGTCATCATCCTACCACTCTATCACTGCTATTTCCAGAACCACAGAAGTTTTTACAGCACAGAAGGATATTTGGCTCATCGTATCTATGCTTTTTTTAAGAACATTCCATTAAGTACCATTTACCTGCCCTTTCCCCATACTCGTGCAGTTTACTCCTTTGTAGATAGATATCTGTCCAGTTCTGTTTTGAAAGCAAATATGGGATCTGCCTCGAACACCACTGCAGAGCATTCTGTACTCCAACCATTCTGTGCATGAAAAGGTTTCTGCTAACTTCTTTGTTTGTTTGTTTGTTTGCTATCTTAAATTGATGCCAACCGACCAGTGGAAATACTTTCTCCCTATTGACTGTTATCAAAACCCTCATGAGTTGTATATTCTACATCCCTGTTTATGAAAGCTAGGATTCTATTTGCTTTCTTGATAGATTAGTCCTCCTGGTAGCTGTTTTGTGCAGTGGGCATTGCTTGTACTGCTCGTAAACATCAGAACATGTTATTTCTGAAACTCATTAAATCTGATTTGTATCATCTTAACTGTAAAAGCAAAATATCACAGGGGAGCAGAGAGGAGATGAGAATAATTTCTGAATGTCAGATCAAGTGTTTCATTACAAAATAAGAGTAACCTATTTTCAGGTGTAAGGCTAGTATAGTTGGCCTCTGTGCCTCAGTTGCAGGGAGATTAAAAAAACAGAGTTCCCACTGTTAAATCGCTGCCATCAAATCCTTCTGGAAACTATGTTAATATTGATTGAAGATGGAATCCGCTTCGCCTCCGATCTCTTCCATGGTTGAATAGACTGTCAACATGCCTTCGGGGGCCTCATGTGCATGTTCAAGTGGAGGTT